AAATGCATTTATTTCCTCACGGGAGCTGCTCCCTCCACGCCACACTCTATTGCCATTAAAATACCATACCTCTATTCCCACTAAAACGCCTTTATTTCTGCTAAAACGCCTTTACTCCCACTAAGATACCTTCCCCCCCCCCAAAATAACTTTATTCCCACTAAAATATCTTTATTCGCACTAAGATACCTTTGTTCCTGCTAAAATACCTTTATTCCTCCGAAAATGCCTTTATTCCCACTAAAACGCCTTCATTTCTACTAAGATACCTTTTTTCCCCCCTAAGATAACTTTATTCCCACTAAAATACCTTTTTTCCCACTAAGATAACTTTATTCCCACTAAAATACCTTCCCCCCTCCCAAGATAACTTTATTCTCGCTAAAATATCTTTATTCGCGCTAAAATGCCTTTGTTCCTGCTAAAATACCTTTATTCCCCCGAAAATGCATTAATTCCCACTAAAATGCATTTATTTCCTCACGGGAGCTGCTCCCTCCACGCCACACTCTATTGCCATTAAAATACCTCTATGCCCACTAAAATGCCTTTATTCCCGCTAAGATACCTTCCCCCCCAAAAATAACTTTATTCCCACTAAAATATCTTTATTCGCGCTAAGATACCTTTGTTCCTGCTAAAATACCTTTATTCCCCCAAAAATGCCTTTATTCCCACTAAAACGCCTTCATTTCTACTAAGATACCTTTTCCCCCCTAAGATAACTTTATTCCCACTAAAATACCTTTTTTCCCGCTAAGATAACTTTATTCCCACTAAAATACCTTTTTTCCCGCTAAGATAACTTTATTCCCACTAAAATACCTTTATTCCCACTGAAATATCTTTATTCACACTAAGATACCTTTGTTCCCCCTAAAATATCTTTATTCCCACTAAAATGCCTTTCTTTGCACTAAGATACCTTTATTGACACTAAAATATTTCTATTCCCACTAAAATGCCTTTATTCCCATGAAGATAACTGTACTCCCACAAAGATACCTTTATTCCCACTAAAATGTCTTCATTTGCACTAAGATAACTTTATTCCCACTAAACTATCTTTATCCCCACTAAAACGCCTTTTTTCCCCACTAAAATGCCTTTTCCCCAATAAAATATCTTTATTCCTAATAAAATGCCTTTATTCCCACTAAAATACCTTAATTCCCATTAAAATACCTTTATTTCCACCAACATGCCTTTATTTCCACCCCAACAAGTCAAAGGAGAGGGAGCACCTTGGGAAGATGGACTCTTGGGAGCTAGTTCTGGACTAACTCACAGGCAGCAGCTCCAAGGGACTCAAGGAGCTGTGCCAGGGCAGGGTCAGGTTGGATCTCAGGGAAAGGTTCTTCCCCCAGAGGGTGGTTGGCACTGACCAGGCTCCCCAGGGCAGTGGGCACGGCCCCAAGGCTGCCAGAGCTCCAGGAGTGTTTGGGCAACGCTCTGAGGGACAGGGGGGGATTGTTGGGGTGTCTGTGCAGGGCCAGGAGCTGGACTTTGTGGATTCTCCCTCACTTGCCACTTGTCCCCTTTCCTAGTGCTCCCCCTGCACCCTCTCCCTCGCTTTTTGGTATGTTTTGGGGGTTTTTTTGCCATTTGACAGCAACTCATGTGCAACTCTGACTCTTTTTCCTCCTCCTTCGAAACAGTCTTTCACAAGCTGTTTGTCTGACCTTCCATCAATCCACTGCCTCTCCAAATCCAACCAACTACTTCTGAAACACCTCAGAAAATCTGGCCTTCAGTTTTGGGCTTTGCAGGCTGCTTGGAGTGGAGAAAAAACTCGACACAATTACAATGATATCATCAACAGCAAATGCTAAATTTGGGTTCTGCACTATCTTTCACCACTCAACCAAAATCCAGCTCCCTTCCAGCCTTTTGACAGGTGCCACAAGTTTACTCCGTAGGCGGAACCTTTGGAGTGCTGACCTGCCTCATTTGGAAGCCGCCCAAAATTGCCACACGCATCCTATTTTGGATTCCTGACAATTCCGTTCACAGGACCAAGCACTCACCACATTGCTCAACTGGAGCTCTCCTTCCAGCTGGAAAATGCCAAGACAGACCCGCCATCTCTTCCCTCTTCCTCCCCTGGGAGGAGGCAGCAGAGAACCACAAGTTTTAGCTTTATTTTATGTTCCCGGCTTGTGATAGTGATTTTGAGCCCATGAAGTTCTCACTGACAGCATGGTGTACATAAAGGGAATTGAATCTGTTCTCCAGTGGGACAGCAGCCATTTCATCCCATCATTCCTTAGAGATTCCCAGACATCTGCCCTTCCTCACACTGCCTGTGAAACAGCACAATTTGTACACGTGCCCCTGAGCCTCCAGCATGCTCTGCCCTCCAGAAACAAGGCCAAGCCAGTTTTCCATTTAAAAAAGGCTTACTAAGGATCCTAAGAGCTCCTGTCAGTTCTTTCAGTTAAAAGAAAGTCTTGGTGAGACGGAACAAACCAAAATTAAGGCTGTCCTGTGTTATTCTGACTCACCCATCCCATAGCACTAATCAAGATCCATCTGATTACTCTCACAGTTGCTGTGGGCAGATGAGTTCTCTCAGCTCTGTGCTGAGGAAAAATGTTATCTCTTAAGGCTCCTGCCCCTTAGTTCTGCTACTGGAGTCTCAAGGGTGAGGGTACCAAAATGCCCTGGTTAGCAGAGATTTACTGAGCTGGAGATCTGCAGCCTGGCCTCTTAAGTCCTTCCTTTTCCTCTGCTTCATGGATGGGGCAACCCCGAGAGAAAATGAGGACCCAGCACTTAGCAAAGCCATAGGAGAAGGCCTGTGTTTTGTTTTCAACAGATTAGACAATGAATAGTGTGTGAGACGTGAACAGCTGGAAAAGAAAAAGATAACCCAGGGTTACAACACAGAGCCACTAACAAGAGCTCCATCTTTGCCCAACAATGCCTCAGTTTCAGGGTGCTCCTCTCTCAGTATCTCCCCTGCAATCGCTGTATCCAGGCAGAATTCCTGAACAGCAGCTGTCCCACCTGCCGTGGGAAAGAAGGACAGAAGCAGAACCTTTACAGGTTAACAATCCTACCAAAATGCCTGTCCAAATATTTTAAGTGTCTCTTACAATGAGTTTACTCACAACTGCAACAGGATTTCCACCCTGAAGGTAAAACACAGATTTTATGTAATTTTACAGTACTAGTACTGATCAAAACAAAAGATGGTTTCTCAAAGCAACCCAACATGGGCACAGACTGGGCATTGGCCCAGTTGTATTTAAGTATCTTGCTGGCCATAGGGATTTATTTATCCTGTATCTCTAACCCACTCCAGTGACCCTACACTGTGTGCTTCCTCCAGACTCTTCACACTCCAGCAGGTTTAAAGAAAGTCTATCGCTTTTCTGCCCCCCTCTTTTTGTTTTTCCTTCAGAAAGAAAATCTTTTGGTAAGACTCCTGATTTCTCCCTTTCTGACTGTTGCATACACCTGCTGCAAAGACACTAATAGCACATTGAAAGGTTTGGATTTGCCAAGTCAGCTGAACACCAAGAACAGCCTCATGTACAGCTCAGCTGGGCCCCACTGACTGAGGGGCTGACGTGCAGTGAGGTGAAGCCCAAAGGGAAGTTGAAAAGAGGAAGGAAATGAGGAAACTTCATCAGAAAAGCATGTCAGGTTCTGTAAAAAGAAAGCAAGCTCCACTGCAGTGTCAATCAAACCTTTGATAGTCCATCCTCCACCTCAGTTTCCTGTCCAGACATTACCTGGACACTCACTCAGCTTTTTTTTTAGGCAGGTGGTACTGACCAAATTGATTCTAAAAAGAGCACTTTTCCCAGTTCCAAGTGCTCTGCTTCCCCCATGCCACCCTTCAGGCTCGACAGACCTGTCAGAGCTTCAAATCTGAGCCTTCACCTCAAAATCAACAGGTTTTCTAGACTGGCCAGTGCTCTTTCAGGTGAATCACACGTTTACAAAGAGACTGAAGATAAGATGGAGCACACAGGGAGTTTCAGGCTCAGAAGGGAAGCTACAGGGGAAGCTCCCTGCTTTCCCCTCATGACAGGGAGCCACTCGGGCTCATTTTTAGAGACCAAAGTAAGCTGGGGACTCTGTGTAAGCCTGTAAAACTTCAAACTAATTTCCCAAAATGCACTGAACAAGGCACCTTTAACCTGCAGACCTTTCTTTCTCTTTCTGAAAACCTCTTTGCTATTCAGGCAACGAACTGCTCTGAGATCAGCCCCTGGACAGCATTAACAGGTGGTATCTGAGCCCTGGTTTACGAAGGAGCAGTAGCAGAATTTAATGGGAAGCTGTTTCACTTCATAATACAATTCACATTGTGAGGTACAACACTTTCCATTATGAAACTATAAAAATATATTCCCAGAGTCTGAAACAAGTTCAATAATTTACACTGAAGATGCAAAAGGGATCAGGTGTTATCTAGGAAGACCTGTCCCAGTACTGCAAGCTTGGAGTTAAAAGATTGACTGGGGCAACTCAGGAGGGAGTGTGAGCTCTTCTTAGATCTTCTCTTCTCTCCAGTTTTCTCTGCATCTTCAGGGTCTTTTGCACTCTCCCCTTCACCGGGGTCAGAGGGTCTTTTTAAAGTGAATTTCTTGGTTTTCTTCAGTGAGTAGAATTCCCGCATCAAGTCTTCTACCTCCCACTGCTCTTCCTTGCGCTTCCTGCAGCAGTGCAGGGCAGCAGGATCGATGGGATGAGCCTCTGTGTTGAAGATGTAGCCTCCAGCATTCAAGACACACTCCCCATATGGTGTAACCACCACGTCGAAGTCTGAGCCATCGTTGTGGATGAAGTTGTCCGGGTCAAACAGCAGGTACAAGTATTTGATTGTTTCAGCCAAAAAGAAGGATTCCATGCGATTATCCAGCCTGTGATCCCTCAAGTCTTTGATCTACAAGGGAAGAAATAGAGTGGGTTACACTTATATCAAATTCAGTTAAGTTATGAACTCGGGGCGGGGGGAATAAAACCAGCTTGCAATTCATTTCAGTTAAAAGCCCAGTATGATATCAATTCACCCTATTTCTTATCACAGAATACTTTGGGTTGGAAGGGACATTAAAGATCATCTCTTGCCACCCCCTGCCATGGG